CAGTATCACATTTAACCTCACAGACAATAACTACAGTGAGTGAGAGGATTCAGTCACTTGAGGACAATTAAGTGAGACAGACTGATGTGATCATAACTGTGACCTTTTGTTGTCAAGGGGACTACTTCTAACACAATTACCACTTCAAAAATGTCTAAACTGAGCTTTAAAGGGCAATGAAACTGTCTTGGCACATCAAGGACCATGACAAAAATACAAGCTCTTCAGGGGGCAAAGAGATCTCTGTCTAACTGAGAGTGTGTTAAGATCCTATGGACATGCAACACAACTTTCCACTTTTGAGTCACTTGTGGGTAGAACATTAGACTAACATCTTACATTTCTGTTTTCAACAACTAATAGTTGAATGGTGAAATGTCAGTCAGTGTCAAATCATTTACAAAATCTACTAAGGTTGAAAATCATAATATAAGATGAAAATGTTAAGTAGAACACTAGTTGTGTTTATTAATCATCCAGAATAATATGAAAATAACTATAAACCTGTATTTTAGCTTTGATTACTATATAAAACCGTGTTTCTCCCGCTGTGTTTATAGCACACAGGAAATAATCCTGTCAGTGGCTTGTTCTACAGAAGCTCTTATGTCTCTGTTGGTTGTCAGTTCAGTTGAATAACTCTGTTGCCCTCTGCTGGAAAACATAATACTTACAACTCAATTCAAGTTGGTATTCTCACAATGACAAATTGACAGTCGTGTGCAATGTCCAAGGAAGACTTTGCACCCTACAGTGAGGACTTTATTCCTTGCATATCGTATAAATATGTTTGAGACTAATGTAGGTGAGCTGTGTGGGGCACACAAACATACAGGATAAATGTTAACATGGATATATTCATTGTTTAATCTTTATTTGACTCTATACATTTATTGCAGCTTTGATGAATCCATACATTTTAGATATTTTGGTCTTGAAGCATTTATGATTAGTCTGATGCTTTCATGCAGTGGTGCTGAAGAACCAATATATTTAATTTGAACTGTGACAAAATGAACTCAAAAAGCATAGTGAAAAACGGCTGCTGTGTCTGACCTGGAGGAAGGAATTTCAGCTGGTTATTGGACAGTCTCAGGTGCCGCAGAGACCTCAGTCGGCCAATCTCTGGACAGAGGAACTGGAGGGCGTTATTGCTCAGGTCCAATGATTGCAGTCTGGCCAGGTTTCCAATAGCTGGAGATGAAACCACAGTTGCCGTCATTATTGTCAAAAGACAAAGTTAACATAGCTGGTCTCAGATAAAGCACAGACAAAGGCACTGCAGTTTACTGACTTACTGAAGGTCTTACCAATGTACCATTTTATGTCATGGTATGTCATGTCAATATTAATAAGTGTGTTATGTATGATTTCCTGAGCATCTCATCTTTATTGTGGTTGTTGGTTTGCTTTTTTAGTTTCATTAAAGATGTTTCTTAAACTGTCCCACAATCTCAATCGCACCTGAATCAACTATTGCCATATTTAAAACTGCTGAATCACTCTGAATCTGTCTTTTAGTAATAAATTGAAAGCATTCACAAGTATAACAGTCATGCGTTGTGACAACAAAACCCCCAAAACACTAGAGACTAGCACATTATTATGAGATAACAGACGACTTACCTTCTGGAATAATGACGATGTTGTTTGAGTGCAAATACCTTAAAAGGAAAAAATAATAAATGTTACAATCAGAATTGATCAATCTATTTGATGTTACGTACATATATTTATTCACAGGCCACGGATAGAAACCTCATCTCCCTGTAATTTATTTTGGAATCTAGAGTATTTTAACTCTTGTGGGGCAAGCTGAGCCTTCAGTCATGCTGACAGGGGAACAATTTTGGAAAAATGCAGGCTCTCCCTTGCCCCCTTGTTCAAAATAAATCAGGAAATCAATACAGGACTGTATGCTGGCGAGCTAGAAGGCTTTCTCAAGTCAAGCCACGTGAGGATATTCATGATTAGCACGGTTCATAATTATCAAGATAATGGAAATTCACCACAATATATTTTTAGTGGGTTTTTTTGTGATACGCAACAATATCATATGTTGTCTCATCCCCAGCCAGTTATAATTTAGAAATGCAGCAGACAGCCTCATTTAGTACAAATCATCATTTTCACAGTTCACAGCCACAGTATCTGGTGAACCAGTCAATAATGACCACAAACTCCTTGCTATAAAATAACAACTGTTATCATTATTTGTACAAACAAAACACAAACACAGTTTAGCTGAATACTCACAGTTCAATTAGATTGGGGAGCTTCTGAGCAAGATTGTCAGGCTGATGGAGAGAGAGAGAGAGAGAGAGAGAGGGAGAGAGAGGGAGATAGAGAGGAGAGGGGTTGTGTAACACAGTGTGGGACAAGTAACTGTGAGCTACTCTACTCAACTTCTATTCTGTTCCTTAGCTCTACGCTTTGCCCTCTGGTTGATTCAGTAGCACGCAGCAGACTATTCAGGTTACAGGTTAGGCCTTTAACATGTGAGGGACTTAAAAAATACATTTTATATGAATGCAACTCCCCCGCCTCACATGCTAAGTAAATACAGTAAGCATAAAAGGAAGCTAAAGTTTCATCCGGTCTTATGCGACAGTCGCCTTCCACCATCTTCAGACAGTTATAAGTAGTTTTCCAGTCTTTGTTGTAGTATTTTCTTCGTATTACTTTCCATCATATTCCACCTAAATCTCCATAGTTTGTGACTTTGTAGTGACTCTCTGTATTTGTATTTTCCCTGTTGGGTGTAACGTAACACAAAAATGAACAGATGAACCTGCACTTGACCCACATGTTCTGGATAAAAAATATAGTTATAGCTATAAAAGCACCTGTCCTGCAGTCGTTAGACTTTTTAAATCTAGACACCTGGTCACACTACTTCTAACATTTGTAAAATTATAGTGAGTCCTGCTCTGTTTTGCATTTCTGTGAACACAAGACAACAACCAACTGTATCAGTAGCATCTGACACAGTAAATAAACCAGTGTGGATACCAGAGTAGTGAGCGAGTTCCTCTTCATGTACAGCCTCTCCAGAAACTGCAGGCCTTCATCCTTCAGCAGCTCTACGGGGAAATTATTCAGGTTTCTGTAGTTCAGAAACAGGTTTTTGTGGCGCTCCTGCTTGGCCATGAAAATAGTTTCATGTAGTTCAGTTGCCATTTCTGAGGAAACCTCTCCTCCCCGGTGGAGGAGACTTGGCTTGACCTTCCTCTATGGCATTACTGTTCCCTGAAATATAACCCAAAGAACAGAGACATTAGAGGACAGCAGTGTTTGTGTCTTTGAGCTTTACAGCTGGGAACAGATAACACAGCATGAGACAGGATCAATAAAACCAAACACTGCTGTACCTCGTAGTGTTTTAAGCCTCTGCACCATTACAACTCTAGTTAATACAGCAGTAACATATTAACGTTAGTTTATTTAAAGTTTCCGACAAACTATGTTGCTCTAACAGGCCAAAAGTTACCCGGTAGTTTTGTTACAGCGCAGGGACGTTGATGCTAGAGACAGGACACCCTGCAAGAAGACACAGTGCAGACTGACTGCAGTTCACTAGCTAGCATCATTAGCATGCTAGCTACACATTCCTATCGATAACACGAGCCGCAGAGAGAGAAGTTATTTACCTTAATTGGTTTGGACCATTTCATTCTAGTTTGTTCCCCACATATGCTCAGTGCCCGCCAAATAATGAACGTTTGTTTGTAAAGGCACAGAAGCTAACGCTAACTGAAGGGTCGCTGAACGGCATCCGTCGTAAACAACGTAAGACGTCACAGTCCGGTCTCAGGTCAAAGGTCACGCAGCACACTGCTGGTGTAAAGCTGCTGCTGCTGCCCCCTGCTGTTACATCACTAGACTGCATCATAAATGAGCTCATATCCCTCCTGCAGTGGTGTGAAGTACCAGAGGGAAACCTTTATATCGCTTCTTTATTACATGTCAGCTACTGTTGCTGGTTACTTCGCAGATTAAGAGTTTAAATAATGTATAAATTATCATCTTAAACAAAATGGGTCGGGAAATGTTTCTCCTGAGAGCTCCATCACCTGCACGGAGAACTCAAATCCACTTACTGAATAGTTGCTTGGTGATGAAGAAAATACTTAAATACACAAAACTGTAACAGGAAAGTATTGTGATAAAAACATTTTCTCTGTTCATATGGTAGTACGAGCAGTAAGCTGCATATAGAGACCAAAAAGTACACATTTTATTAAATATACATTAACCTGTGAGACATGTATTATTGTGAAGGATTTAACCAACAGCTGGAAAGTTAATGCATCATGTTTTATGTGTAAAAAAACAAAAGCCATAGAGTGGTAAAATGGTATATATATATATACATATATATCTCTTCAGTAGCCTGAACCTGTCCTCCATCTTTACACCATTCTGTTGTGGCTCCAGTTGTATATTTAGCTGTATGTAGTTTAAACCAATCCTTGTGCCATAGACCCAGTGGGCTTTGGTTGCTGGCCTGCTGCGGGTGGGCTGCACGGGCATGAGATTGATTTGGCCAGCGTTGGTGCTTGTTGTTGTTGTTGTTGTTGTTGTCTCCTTCACGAGTGGCAAAAAGGTGCCTCCGTTTCAGAGAGCGAGCTAAGATGCGTTGGTTAGCCCAACACCACCAAAGTGCACAGCTGTCAGATCTGTCTAACGGTAGCAAGAAGATTGCAGTAACTTTTAACGTTATCTGTCTAACGTTGGCCAACTCACGGTAATCGTCCAATTAGTCGTTAGATTAGTCGACTAATCGATAAAATAATCTCCCGATTAATCGTTTAATAAATAATCATTTACCCCCAGCCCTACCAACACCCATTGAGCAAATTTTAAAAAGTGAATTCAGCTATTTCAAGATGAGAAACATTGGACGAACTAGACGAGATGTCAAGTGAAGCCTCTCACTAGCATCGTTTAATATGTGGGAGCACAAATGGTACACACTCCCCAATAAAGACAAACAGTGAAACAGTTTGCATACATTTTTATTCATCTTAAATCTTGTGTAGAAAAAAAGAATCGGAGAAACAGACGTTCTCTTTTCCTTCAGCCAGTAATTTTTCCCAGTACTCAGAATATATTGATAACAGGAAAAATTCTTAGCAGAACAAAAGAAAACCAAAATGAAACCTCAGTCTAACAGATCATTTCAATAGAAACGCAAGAGTTGGAAGGCTATGAATAATTTACACACATCAAAATCTTGATAACAAATTGGCCATCAATGTGACAAAAGGAAAAAAAAAAAAAAAAAAGAAGAAATTTGTTTGATTTTATGTCCGCTCTGTGAGGTGTTCCAGTGGTAAAAGTGAGGCAAAAATCAGACCACAAACACTGAAAGACCATCCTGATCTTATATCAGTACACACTGGCACAAAACCGCCACCACACTAACCACTCGGCTGTCATCAGGCTCGTAACCAGAACCCAAAATCACTCCCAGCCTGAGACTACAAACCAGTTTAGGTAGGGAAGGAAAAGAGAAGAGTAAAGATGCTTTTAACTGGGATTATGATCACTGTGGCAAAAGGTCTAGGTACAATGCCAAAGTCCCATAATGGCAAAAAAAAAAAAGAAACCCTGGAGAATCAAGAGGAAGTAATACACAAAACATCAGTAACTAGCTCTTCGGTTACCAGAGGTGTTACCATAGCAACCAATACAAATCAGCTCTCAGGTCACCAGTCTTTGAACAATCAAACCAGATGTTGACTGACTTCCTTCTGCTCTGTGTGGTTTCATTAATTACTGATGAGAAACAGAAGGTTTCAGCAAAGACTGAGAATGGAAATGTCATTAACAGTTACACACACGTTATCATTTTCACTATATATCCAACAAATGATTGACAGAATGTCATAAATGGTGTTGTGTTGAAAGTTAACCAGTGTAAACTGTCCCAGACTAGACAAACGGATCCCCACAAAGCAGCCAGAGGCGACTGACAGAAGTCCCATAATGTCCATCTTTATGTGGTGAAAGACTGCAGTCCTGTATCTACATGCCTCCAGTTCCATTGCTAATGGGTCAAAGTGTTTGAAGATATTGTAACAGCATCTTTAGACACACGCCTAGACCAGAAAATCAATAGTTTTCAGTCAGTAAATTACTTCTTGCTTAAAGACAGTATGGCCCTTTTAATAATGACCAAAAGCACAATGTAACAAGCCATATATGGATTTAAAAGATTGTATGTTTTCCCCCAACGGATGCCTTCTGGCAGCCTCGTTTGTGCCTCTTATGTATTACCATTACATTCACAGAGCTAAGCATGCGATTTATTTCTTTGGAAAAACCCAGAAACAACACTGAACACTCTGAAGGGATTTACAAATTCCTCAAAGACTCTGGTTAACCATCTGGATAAAAAATATTCTGTCTGCAGCACGAAACAAAAAAAAAACTAAAAGAATCTCCTAATCCAAACAGAGATGGCAGCCGGAAACACCATACGTCTGTGTGCAATGTGTACAAGTTTCATTATCAGTTACATTAGTCTACATGCTACACTGTAGAGATGGCCATTATCTGTATCCGCTCAACCTACTAAAAAGTGTGTGGGACTACCCCGGAGTTGTTCATTTAAGCCTGAAATCCATATGGGTTGATCAGAAGTTGCTATATTTATTAGAACACTATTTAGAGAACAGCCTCAGAATTGACCTTCAGAAAAACGTTTTTTGATCACAAGAGAAACTATTTTAAGACTTTTTTTATATAGAAAAGTTGCTATATTTACAAGTACGGATACTGACAGATTGTACTCTGATAATACTTGTAAAAAAGTACATTATCTGTACCTGACGCGCACTGCAGCAGAGTACTCGCTCAAACCTAGTACACTGTATTATTTTCAGAATAATGTGTTCATATTTTTTCTTGTGTTGTACAAAATAAGCAGGGAGCTATGTAATATAGTCCCAACTTGGGTAAACAGGTTAAACATCATGTTCATCAAAGTGATGTTCAAAGAGTCTTTGAGGATTCTGGAAATGCCTTCGGAACAGCAGTATGCGTTGTTAAATTACGACCCCCCTTCCCCGCCCCAGAAAACAAAAACCAAAAACCCCATATGCACAGCGATGTCACTCGAATGTAACGGCGGTACAGGAGAGGCACAAACTGAGGCCGGACTTCAGGCTGTAGGTTTGAGGAGCCTGAATGGTTTGCTGATTACCTGCAAGACCAGAGGGAAACATTTACCAGCATGAACCTGGTTTTCATCATTCACCGTGTTTCTGTGCCCCCTCCTCCTCCCCCCTCCAGGATGGTTTGGTTTGTGGTTTGAATTTGACCATATTAAAACAGCCCTCCGTAAGGTTTAATTACAGCCGGACAACAGAGATGAGATGTTCTGTTTTTCTGTACATGTAAAGAGATTGAAAAAAGAGTGAGGTAGATGGATGGTTGAAGGGATAACAAAACCTTCCTCCAAAAGGGCAAAAGAACATCAAAAAAAATCTGAAGGAAAAAAGACCTGTGGGGAATTTGTACAGTGATTTCACAAAAAAAAAAAAAAAAAAAAAGTAACCAAGGAACATCTGGGCTGGGAATGAAAACTTTCTGAGGTGAATGGGCCTTTAATTATTCCACTATTCCATGATCGTCTTCATATTTTAGTGCGATTGGTTTCTCCCATGAACCTAAAGCAGTCTGTTTATGCTCAGTTAGTTCATCAGTTTTAATATTATAATCATTTAAATGTGCTCTTCTCATCAATGTTTTTAGCGTCATCCTCAGTTACTTTTTCCGAAGCATTAAAACAAATCTCTCAGTGCTGTAAGATAATTCCACTCCTTTCTCAACGCAATTTAACTTCAGCAATCGTCTACAAACACGTTAATATGTTGTAAAAAGATAAATAATGTGGATTGCTCCAGCAGCATACAGAAAACCACGCTAGATTCAAGAGAGAGGTTGATTAGCAGGAAGTGAAGTTATCCTACAGACAGGGGGTTTTTTGCACTTGCCTTTAGAGATGTGAAGGCTCGCTGCTACATTTAAATAAATCGTTTTGCATTTACTTTGTACCTTGAAGCCAGTGTTATTACACAGCACAAACATATGGAAAACTGGAACTGACACGAGTTAATAAAAGGTTATCAGACAGGTCAAAAATAGAACTGTTGTCTAAATGATTAAAATGGAGAGTAAACAGAAATATAAAACTTGTCAATACTAAAATGTAATTCATTTCACGCCTCTATTCTTTTTCAATAGCTCCATAGTTTTCCTAATTTCATTCTCGCTCTTACAACTCACACTGTCACCTAATCGAACTGATAGCTAAAGACACAGAGCACAAGTGGTTTCTGCAAGCTACCTGGCTGCAGCTAACTTTAATCATAAAGCTATGCTAACAACCTTAACTGGCTTCTTCGTCTTTAAGTGCATGTCTCTTGTCCAGAGTGGAAATAAGTCCATCCAAGTATGCAGCACAGTATATGGATGATTAACATTACGTGCACTAAGTGGGGGGCTTTTATGATAAAAGTCAGCTTCAGCTAGGTAGCTGGCTAAAATAAAATTAACAAATCAGGGAAATTGGGAGTAGACAAATTATTAAATGTGACCAAATATTATTTATGTATGTACTCACTTATATTCTGACTTGTCTGATAACCTTTTACTACATTTTGCCAGTATTGGGGCTCCATTCAATAAGTGCAAGAATCCATCCATCCAAACCCCCTTCTGGTCTCAGAAACACTGCTCTTGTCTAACAATCACAGAAAATGAAATAGCAGAGTCAGAGGGACATAGAATCAGACACACACACACACCAGACTGGATGTCTCAATGTAATAACAGCACAAAAAGAGAGAGAGAGAGAGAGAAAAAGAAAAGGAAAGTACAAAAGGATTAAATTTTTCTCTTTGACCTGAGATTTAGTTGGGACTCAGCAGTGAAGCCTGACTCTGAGTATGAGTATATACCCTAGAGGACAGAGGTTGAGGCATCCCGAGAGAACACGAGAGCATCGATGGTTACGGGTACCATCACTGTCCTCTAGTCAGATGGGAGGGGAAGTTACCGGTGTTTCAAAACACAAGGCAAATTGTCGTACCTTTACGCGAACACAGAAACGAAACCAGCTCAGATACACTTTACACAATTACAAGCATTAAAAAATGGACTGTAGTGGAAACGTTCGTAGTTCATCTCTTTTTATATATATCTATATATATCTATATAGATATAGATATCTATATCTATATATAGATATAGATATATATATATAGATAGATAGATATTAACTATATTACAACCACAAGAGAAATAAAGGAATAGCAGCTTCTTTCTGTACATGATGAATGTCTCCAACCGTATAAAAGTTAAAAAAGTGACACAAAAACTGGTTGCGTACATAAATGCTCTGCCCACGTAGAGATGTTTTAAATGTTGGAGACTAATGACTAGTCTAAAAAAATACCTGTTTGTATACAACAACAAGGATGCCTCTGAACTCAGAGCAAACCCCAATTAAGAGACGATATAGATATAGTGTTCATATTGGTTTTTCCACTTTACGCTCTTCCCTCCGCAGTCCTTGCTTCAAGGATTTATTTTTTTTGCTTCTTCATTGACTGGATTTGGCTTTTAAACCACAACAGAACAGCACTTTGTGAGAGGATGTGGCTCAATTTCAGATAAACTGATGTAACCAAGGTCCATGACTTCAATTTGTGTTGAGTACAGTAGCGGTGGATATCAAACAAAAATAGAAGAGTAGTGTAGGACTGTAGAGGGAAGTCAATATCCCCTTTGATCACAGATTTTAAGAACGGTGTGGTAGCAGATCAAAGTGCTTTTTTTGTTGCCTCCATTTTCAATCCGGTGTGTTTGGAGAAGGGCAAGACTACAGAAGTGAGAATTTGACAAAAAGTACAATTTTGGCAACTAATTTGGCAGATTTGACCTTTCTCCCTCTGGTTCTTTGTTTCAGCGGATCGGCTGTTGACCCAGCATTACGCTGACAACCAGCCTGCAGAGCAATGAGACTACTGAACGACCGATGGAGACCCTGACCTCTCTGAAGTGCTTTTTCATTAGATATGCATTTAGTTTATGCAACAGTTTCACCATAATGCCCGCCCAAAAGCGACCAAAACGCCGGTCATTTATAAAGGCCTACACATTTTGTTTTCCCATTTGGAAATACATATAAAAAAGTAACAAACAACAATATATAAAATAAGTTCAGCCATAAAGAGAGAGGTCTCCCCAAAATTACAATTTTTTTCTTTCTTTTACCGTTTTTTGGTCTTCCCACTCAGCAGCAAGGGCAGTGTCACATCTGACAGCCAGCTGGTAGAAACCAAAACTAGAATAATATGGAAAGAAAGTGTGTGGAGGTACAGCAGAACATGGACTTAGTGACAGTCTTCCTGTGAGTCTTTGCTCCTCACTGAGTAGCTACACCCAGCAGGTGGACATGGTTTTGCTGTATGAGATAAAAAAAAAAAAAAAAGGAGGCCACACCCACTGAGACCTCAGGTTCTGCGGAGCAGCAGGTGGCAGGGTGTGCAGTCTGGTGGGTGTCTGTCCAATCAGCAGGCGGAGGACTGCGGGAGAGGCATGGCCCGTTCATTTTTGCGTCCTCCGTTCATGTGTGCGTACGGCGGCAGTTCGTCCAGAGATGGCCGCACTGAGCCCGATCCGAGCCCTGACCCCGCTGCAAGGCCCGCCCCTGACAGCCCGTTGGCTGCCTGCTGGCCAGAGGGCTGCTTGTCCGTGGCAGCGGTGGATGTACAGGGAGATGAGGGGGAGCTGGGTGCTAGCGACGGGGCGGGTGGAGCCTCTGAGCTTGGGGAGGGTGGGGTCTGTTGGGAGACTGGGGTTTGCTGTGGCTGTGTGGAAGAGGGGGGTTCCAGAGGAATGTCGTCCATGTTGTCCATCTTGTCCAGGTGCAGCTGCGGAGCCTCGGGCGGCTTGTTATCGGCGCTGTAGAAGAAACTGGCCTCTCTGAAAGATGGCTCCAGCTCATCCTTTATGCTGCTGATGATCTCCACAAAGGCTGGACGCATTTTAGGATTATACTGCCAACACATTCGCATCAGCTCGAACCTACACACACACACACACACACACACACACACACACAGGGGTTAGCTCAGTCTGCATCAACAACATGTCCTCCTGTAGTAATGACTCTATCCAGAGGAACTGCACCTTCCTACTGACAAGCCAATATTTACTTTTGCCAAATGTTTGCTTTCTGTTGCTAAAACGGCTGTAAGTAACCCCCCCCACTTCTTGTTTATGAAGCAAGGAGCTGGTTTCTAGATTAAACCTGGATCTGACAAGCCTGAAACACCAAGATGGCAACCTTTATGTTACATCAAATGTCGCAAATGCTTTCTCTGACAGAAATTCATTAATTTGCAGATATGTTATGCTCTTGGTTTCCACAGCACTTCTGCAGCTATAAAGCCTACGGTACGTGAACCAAACCAAATGCTGTGCCACAACATTTCACCTGTAAAAAAGTTTTACTTTCAGTGCATTTGTATGCATGTGCAGATTAACTAAATGATTCTTGGTTCCGCTATAGGATCACTAACTAAAGTACATTTTTATTTTTGGAGTACAGCGACAGCTGGTAAGTATATCCGGTCTGATCCACTATAGCTACGTTGTTCAAATATAGACATGCAAGTGGTATCAAAATTCTCATCTGACTCTTGGCATTAAAGCAAATAAGCATATTTCCCAAAATACTGAAGTATTGCCTACAGCTGAGTTGCTTACGCAGGAAGCGGTGGATCAGAATTAATGCGTCCTCTCAAAATCTAATGCAAAGCTACCACATATGCCATATGATGCTTTAAAACAATCACTAAACAAGTATCTTTAGACAAATACGTTTATGGACAACACATTTATACAACAATTTCTGTTAGAGAATGCTATGCCTACACATTTGTTCTCCTCATGACTTCAACATCTGATGCTTCTTCAACGTTCTGTGGTCTGTGGCCAAATTTGTCTGCCACGCTCACAACTCTTTTAATGTGGATTTACACTCGGGCTGTTTCATATTAAGAACAAATGCACCATGGATGGAGCACACAGTGACAAACAGGCGGGGCGTAAGAGCAATCAGCACTGTGGGCAGCAGTACTTCTTCACTGTTTGTGTGAGTAAACAGTGCTCACTTGTGCTTTAACTAGGAAAGTAGGGGAAAGCATTGCAGACAGAAAGTTGAAGTGTAGATAGAAATGTGTGAAATCTGCTGTGTGTGTTGGTGTCTTACAGCATGTCAGGACAGTTCTGTGGTTTCTCCAGCAGCCCTCCCTCCATGACGAAGCGGAGCACCTGCTCATTGGACAGACCTTGGTAGGGCTGTTCTGCCAGAGTTGCAATCTCCCATAATACAACCCCGAACGACCTACACATGGGGAGAGAAGTTAGTATGTCTTCCAGTATCATGACCAGACTCCAACATATTTTTGGAAGCAGTAAACACAGAAAATGAAGCCACCATATGTGTGTTTGTTTATTTGTGTGCACCTGCTTACCAGACATCAGAGGTGGTGGTGAAGACTCCGTCCTTCAGAGACTCGGGTGACATCCAGCGGACGGGGAGCAAACCCTTACCACCTTTGCGGTAGTAATCGGTCTCATAGATGTCTCTGGTCATGCCAAAGTCTACACACACAACATAGGCACACACACAGGGAGGAGGAGATGCATTGATAATGTTTATAAAAAAAGACCCCAAAGCATTTGATGAAGATGGTTTTAACTGTTTTAAAAAGTGTAGGGTGTAAATGTCCTCAGACTTCTTGTTGTTGTACTTGTTGTGTTGTATGGGTCCACATATTCCACAGGAGGGCGCTCTTTACTGAGAATATAGGCCTAGTCATATTACTATAGTAACCATAATCCCTTACAGATCACTCACTACTGGTGTAACAGACATTTAAAAAATGCCATTGAGACCATAACTGTCTCAAATGGAAATAAATCTGGAGACATGATGTCCTCAGCTCGGGATCTGCTGATGAAAACACAGTGATGGAGCCTCTGCCCCTCAGTGGGTTCCCTTTACTTGGAGTAAGGTTACCCTGATTAATTGGTCATCCAATGATTTCACGAATTCCATGTAATGAGCACCATCTCCCACTTCTGCTCCATAGATCTGATAGTTCTTTACCTCCTATCTTTACAGTGAAGTCCTCAGCCACCATGCAGTTCCTGGCTGCCAGATCTCTGTGGACAAACTTATTGGCGTTGAGGTAAGCCATGCCGTCGGCGATCTGACCGGCCATCTGAAGCATCTTCTTCAGAGGAGGGAGCGACAGGCTCGACCACTGCTGCTGGAGACAGAGAGACAGACAGAAGGGAGAGAGTAAGTCCACAGAAAAAGAACAAGGTCTGGCAGCTGAGCCAAAGGTTACCATTAATGATGTTATTTGCCATGTGATCAGTTCACAGCAAAGTATGGAGTAAAATACTACCTTTAGTTTAACTTATTCCAATTTGCAGCAACTGGTTGTTGCAATCAAAGTATATACAGTCTGTACCTTAGGCAAGTACAATTCATAAATTTAAGTGATAAAAAAAATAAGTCCTGATCATAATGCCACTAATTTACAGCTAACTGGGAATAAGTCTGCACATCTGCAGGTTCAAGCTTAAGAACTTGTTGCTTGGACAACAGCTGGAGGTAAATTTTAAGTACAAACTTGTGTCAATTCAAATCATCAACAATCAAATCAAGCAGTTATCCATGTCCACAGAAGAGGGACGTGGTGGGAAGGAGTCGATGCAAGTAATTAGGTCAGACGGTACCTCTTTCGGTCGGAGAGAGCGTAAGTAGCTCTTCAAGTCTCCCCGAGTCATTAGCTCCATGATGACCAGGGTGGGTTGGCCCTGAGAAACCACCCCCAGGAGACGAACCTGCACCAAACACAGCATGCCACATCACCATGACACAAGAACTGACTGAAACTGTACAATGTAGAACACACCACTGCGCTGTAGGATCTTAATGTGTGCGTTTGTGTGGGTGTGTATAGTGTACGTACCACGTGGTGACAGTTGAACTCCTTCATGACAGAGGCTTCATTGAGAAACTCTATTCTCTCCCTCATGCTGGCCGACTCGTTGACGGTCTTAATTGCGACCCGGGTCTCCGTTTCATCTTTGACCACGCCCTTCGCCAAGCCCTCATACACCATGCCGAAGGACCCCTGCCCGAGCTCACGACTCAGGGCGATCTTCTCCCGTGCCACCTCCCACTCATCTGGTACATACACTGCACAGAAAAGAAAAAGGTGTTGATAAAAGACCCTGCATAGATGTTTTCAGTTATTCTGACAACAATAAAAATGTGCACTACATTTCTCACATACACACTTCACTCACTTTCTGCAGCGCTGAAGTACTCTGGATTGACGGAGGCGTACAGGACTCCATTTCCAAGCCGGTCGCTGTTCCTGACCGAAACAAAACAAAAGTGTTTACAGGCACACTTGCACACACCACACACACCCCATACTTGGGATGTGCATGGTGTATAATCATACATTTCACAGTTTTAGCGTCCAAAGACCATTGGCAAAATGCTGCATACGTTCATTTCCTTATATCACAACATTCATTGTCCAAAAGCATTTAAATCATGGAAATAGATCATTTTTCTGACATCTTAAGTTTCCTTCGAGGTAAATATTTGAACACCAACAGATACTAAATATTATGAAAGGTACAACCACAAACACAAGAGAGTGCCAATGACAAAATAGAAATTCTAACTTTATTTGCCACCTAGTTTTACAGACTATGATTGGTAAAAGCATTTTGCTTTGGTCGGTTTGTTGGTTCCAGTGGTTTGTCATTAAACACAGATCCTAATGTGGGCACACTGACCATTAGCAACTGGTTGAAACATTATCTAGTGGAGAGAGAGAACTCTGCTACATCATCATGAGGAACCCACAGAGTATGTCCTGTAATCTCAATCTAATCTCAATCTAATATCTTTTTCCCTAGGAAGTGTACACAACATTTAAGTACATAGGTCTTTATTGATGAAAAAAAGTATACTGAGACAAGTTTGTATTACAGTAGACAGAAACACACACCTTTTCCTGTTGAGGACCACCAGCATCGTGACTAAAACGCAGATGAATATGATGATGGCAATGGGAACAAAGATCATAGCGTAGAGGACGTTTTCATATCCTGTCGGGTAAAACACCTTGGTTACTTTAATTATTACAGTGAAGATTATTTCTGCGCTGTTACAAAATAGGTGTAGAGATACAGTGGAAAGTAGTGATGGACTTTGATTATGCATGTGTGAGATTAGTGTGTCTGTCTTACGTTCAGCCACATAGAAATCCAGAGTGGGTGTCCAGGAGCCATTGCCAGCCAGCGATGTGGCTCTGACTCTGACCGAGTAGTTTCCTGGACTGAGATTGGACAGCCGAACGCCTTGCTGAGTCTGATACAAATGAGCAGACACACATTCGTGCTTCTCGGTCTGACACACACACACAGACACAGACACAGACACACACACACACACACACACACACACACACACACACATCAAAGACTGAATTTTACATTTTTTAATTCAAAACTGAATTTAAGACCTGCTGTTTCTCATCTTCACTGTGCAACAATCAGTACAGACAGGATTTTCAGAATCAGCCTCGCCTTGCTCATGATTAATAAATAAAAGGAGGTTCACTATGTCATGTTACTTATATGCTCGTTGATTGGTCTATATCTACTTGTAGGACCAATTTGTGCCACTTATTTGAATTTTTTTGTTTATCAGTGGCAAAAAAAAGTTAATTTAGATTCTTATAAACGTACAAACGAGGAGGCAACAGACTTATTTAGTCAATGAAGCCAAAGTATGCATGTATAGTTTGCATGTAGGATAGGGTATACTAAATGACAGAGGGGCCAGCAACCAGCATTTCAGATGTGGACAGCACTAATAAATAGTCTTCTGAATAAACATTTTGAGTTCATTGTCTTGCTTCTTGGTTCTTGTGAAACATGGCTGCTCCTCAGTGAGCTGGCAGGTAGATGAACAGATGTTGTCTTACCTCAGAAGCCAGTTTAAACTTGATCTCATACATGAGGATGAGTCCGTTGGGGTGATGTGGCTCCGGCCAGCGCAGAAACATCCAGTCCTCATGGCCCTCAGAGGTCACTGGGCCGGGGATGTCGTCAGCCTTTTCTGCAAAACCGCAGGGAGAATAGGTTACCATGGCAAACACAGAGGTCTGAATATAGCCTCATGCATCCAGTGTATTTTTTAACAACTTCTGCTTCAACATTTACCAGCTACCATCAGAGTTCTGGCTGGAATATGCTATATATTTGTATATGGATCACTTCTCCTCTAACCTGCAGGCTTGGTTCTGGAGAAGACGAACTCTGCGGCACTGCAGCGTTGGACCTGTCGATTGCAGGCATGAATGTCGATGCGGTAAACTGTGAAAGGTTGCAGGCCAGAGATCTGCAGCTCCCGCTCCGTCACTGCTTGCTCCGCAAACTCAAACTCTCTGTCTGCTGGCTCCACATCTGCAGTGCTGCTGTTACCAGCAGCTTGGAGAGGCGGGACAGTGCTGCTGTTGGTGTGCAGCCGGTTGCGGCGCGAGTGAGTGGAGTTGGCTACCCCAAAGAGATCTCTGCGGCGACGATCTGATGGCCTGATGGTGAGAGGAAGAGGGTGGTAGAGTGGAGATACAAGGGAGGTAAGGAGGGATGGATGGAGGAGAAAGTTACCAGGGAGAAGTTTTAAGAGTAGGGAAACATCAAAAATCTACAAAGAACAATTTATTTTCCTCTCCCAAATGCTAGGAGGGACATCTGGAAGAAACTGGCAAAAGTAAAATGAAAAAGTAACATTAACAAAGAGATGCACTGCAGATGAGCAGGGCTTTGTTTACAGAAGTTGATGAAGCACAACATATGACTGTCACAAGGAGGTATTGTTTTAGGTTCCATGTTGATCGCAAATAATTCCTCGTTCAACCTTCAGTCTATGACTGACTTGGTTGTTTCCATTGCCATTTGGCCTTAATTTAAGCAGCTGTGATGAAACTTGGTGGGCAGATTCTAAATAAAATGACCAAACAGCTCGGTGGATTTTGTAGGTACTGAACTTTTACAAGCAGTTATATGCCAATATGTGATATACCAAAACTAAGCTGTATTCAATTTCATGACATTTGGTTAAATGGGAGAGGAGTTACAGTTTTTTTGTCCCAGTAGAAAAGAGTGTGTACCAAGTTTTGTTTAATCTAACGCTAAATGTGTATACACTTTTCAAGAGCTTTACCAATTTACTTTTAATTAGATTTCTCTTTCTGCATAAGTGTGTGTGTGTGTGTGTTTGGAGATAGAAAGTATGATGCAGATGCCTGAAGAGCAAAGCAGCAGACAGACAACCTAAATCAAGCATAGCCAAAGAGGTAAAATCTTTCTGTGTTCATACATTTATATTTTAGTTTTTTCTTTTGAAGTCATCATCATTGTGGTTTAAACAAAAATATGAAGTTAGTCAGTCCACACCTCTGCCATGCAGCAACACAATGATGATGAGTCGCCTACCTTGGTGTAAAAATAGAGTTGTGCAGGAAGTTTTCAAAGACTTTTCGGTAAGAGGCGTCAGCAGCTTCGGCCTCCAGGTCCTCGACTGATTTGGGGCAGGGGCAACAGGGGCCTTTGTCTGCCCCGTCAGGGTCTGGCTTAGTGGGTTTGGTGTCCTCTTCCTGGTCTCCCACACCTATGGCAGCAATCCTTATGGGGATCTTCAACTCTGGATGAGGAAGCAGAGGATGCGTTTTATGACAGGTGTACTCTAACTCAACAACTAGCGATAAGGTGAAATGTATAAGGTGTGTGTGTGTGTGTGTGTGTGTGTGTGTGTGTGTGTGTGTGTGTGTGTGTGTATACCTTTAGAGCAGTAGTTGTGCTGATAGAGCTCTCTGTCTTCAGCTTGTTGTTGCCATCTGACTAGGTAGTAAGTCTGGTTTCCATTTGGGGAGATAGGGGGTGACCAACGCACCACCAGCTGCGTAGATGAGTTAGAGTACGCTCTCACATCCTGGGGCATGGAGGGCGCTGAAACAGAGACAAAGAACTAAATTATGCTGATCTCAGTGTCACCCTGTGGCTGCTTGACACAGCAAACCTGATTTCTAAGAACTTGTAGGAAAGGCCTTTCTCCTCCGGGCTAGGATGCACAGTCTGCCAGTGCAGATGTGATCCTCTGACATCAGAGCACTGCTATGACTTTACAGTGCAGCTGGATTTATTTAAAGCGGTCTTCCATTTCATCTAATTATATTAAAGCTTTTGTAAATCAGTTTTGCTCCATCTCTTCGAGTTGCAGCTGTGTTTACTAAAACAGTCTTCCTCTCCATCTCCTTACACCATGTTTGGATCACATCCAGAAACGCTATCGTGAAACAATCCCACGTCCATCTGATAATGAAGCGGCAACATTTGGTTGCTCGTAACCCTGATGATGACTTTAAATTATATCTACCTGAAGGGCTGGTGCGGATGTAGACCACCTTGCTTTTCGCACTAGGCATGTGTTTATCATCCACCATCAGGATGATCGCCTTAACGAATACAGCGTACTGCGTCCAGGGCTTTAGGCTGGACAGCAGGACTCCTGGGTCTGAGTCCTTGTCTGGCCTCAGCTCCACATCCACCATATTCCAGCTGTTGGAGCCACAGCCATCCTGCCCCTCGAACTCCGTGATGTTCTGGTATGGCCTGGAAGGAAGACGGTTCGAGTCAGAGGCTATTGGCTACATAACACATAGTTGTATTCATACCTATTATTGAGTTGGAGGCGGCTGTGGCTCAGAGGCAGAGCGGGTCGTTCCTTAATCGGAAGGTTGTGGGTTCAATCCCCGGCTCCTGGTGCCACATGTCAAAGTGTCCTTGAGCAAGCTACTGAACCCCAAATTGCTCCCGATGCCGTGCATCGGTGTGTGAGTGTGTATTTCTGTTCAATGGACTTTGCCATCACTGAGTGAATGTGTGTGAAAGGGTAAATGTGGCACGTAGTGTAAAAGCGCTTTGAGTGGTCGGAAGACTAGAAAGGTGCTATACAAGTACAGGTCCATTTACCATTTAGCAATTAAATGAATGAAAAATCTAGATTTTGTGTGTTTCTCATAGTTGACATACACTAGCTTTATTCTTGTGTTTATATACATATATGTAAAAGGAAAATCCTAAACAGCAGCAGAAAAAACTAAGTGTGTTTTCATGATATAACTTTATGCACATTTTCAATTTGTGCATAAAAAACTCATACTTACAAAAATACAAAAAAACAGGGGCCTTTGAACACGTTGATTGATAGGCTGAGGGAATTAAGTTCCAGCTCCTGCCACTCCCACAATCAGTAGAACTCAGCCTGGGGAAGGAAGCAGCTAACGACTGAACAATTCAGAAACACTTACGCCTCCTTGTAATAGACGATAAAGCTGATTAGGTCTCTGTAGTCGGGGGGACGGTAGCGCTGCCAGGTCAGTTTGATCCTTGTACTGCTCGTGCTGTTGGACTTAAACTTCAGGATAGCGCTTACACCTATGGAGACAGGAACGAGGGAGCGAGAGCAGACATAAAATCAAAGTACGTCAATGTGAATGTGTGTTAAAATGTGTGGCAATTAGTCTTGTTGTATGGGGTAGTGCAGTAAATCTTGATACATGATGTAGAACAACACCAGGCTCAGAGGGAGTATTTGCAAGCAAACTGTAAGCTAGAGTAACCTGGAAATGGCAATTTAAATTTTTGTGGTTTTCAGACTGAAGCTCATGTGACCCTTACAGCTGGCTCTGTCGCCGTTGTTTCGGAAATCGCTCTCATCAAAGCGGCCCTGGATGCCCGTCTTCTCCCACATCTTGCGGATCTCAGACGTGCAGAGCTTTGGGTTGGCTCTGAAGAACAGCTTTCCTGCCTTGATGGTGAGGTTATGCTGCTTCCAGTCCCAAAGATACTGGAGCTGCTGGTTGTCAAATGCTGAGAAGGCGTACATGCTAGAGGGAAGAAAGAAGAAAAGATGAATGCATCAGAGTTGACAATGAGCTTCTTAATTCTACATTCACTGTATACTGTTTTTGTGTTGGGTGTTGTGTGTATTGTGATTCATGCCAAGCTGAAGGCCATCAAGGACAATGGCTCATTGTCAGAGCACAGAGCAAATAACAAGGGTATATAGAAGTGACTCCTATATACAGCGGGTAAAATAAGTATTGAACGCATCACCATTTTTTCAGTAAATATATTTCTAAATGTGCTATTAACATTAAATTTTCACCAGATGTCGGTAACAACCCATGCAATCCACACATGCAAAGAAATCAAACCATAGATGTCCATAAATTAAGTTATGTGTAGTGATGTGAAATGACAGGCAAAAAGGCATGGAAAGTCAAGACACCAGCTGAAATCTATCAGTAATTAGAAAGCAATCCTGCCACTTGTCAATGCAAATTAATATCAGCTGGTTCAGTCCCAACTGATGGCTTATAAAAAGGTGTCTCATCACCAAGGTGTCACACAAGAAACATCTCATGATGGGTAAAACCAAAGAGCTCTCTCAAGCCCTTCGCAACCTTATTGTTGTAAAACATACTGATGGCATTGGTTACAGAAGTATTTCTGAACTTCTGAATGTTCTAGTGAGCACTGTTGGGGCCATAAGCCAGAAGTGGAAAGAACATCATTTCACCATAAACCGGCCACGACTAGGTGCTCCTCGCAAGATTTCTGACAGAGGAGTGAAAAGAATTATCAGAAGAGTTGTCCAAGAACCAAGAACCACTTGTGGAGAGCTTCAGAAAGACCTGGAATTAGCAGGTACAATTGTTTCAAAGAAAACAATAAGTAACGCACTCAACCGCCATGGTCTCTATGCATGCTCTACGCGCAAGACTCCATTGCTGAAGCAAAAGCATGTTGAAGCGTGTTTAAAGTTTGCTGCACAACATTTAGACAAGCCTGTGAAATACTGGGAGAATATAGTCTGGTCAGATGAGACCAAAATTCAACTCTTTGGATGCCATAATACACAGCATGTTTGGAGGTCAAATGGCACTGCACATCACCCCAAAAACACCATACCAACAGTGAAGTTTGGAGCTGGGAACATCATGGTGTGGGGCTGTTTTTCAGCATACAGCACTGGCAAACTTCATATAATTGAAGGAAGGATGAATGGAAAAATGTACTGAGACATTCTTGATAAAAATCTGCTGCCATCTACCAGGATGATGAAGATGAAACGAGGGTGGACATTTCAGAAAGACAATGATCCCAAACACACAGCCAAGGAAACTCAATTGGTTTGAGAGAAAGAAAATAAAGCTGCTAGAATGGCCCAGCCAATCACCTGACTTAAATCCAATAGAAAATCTATGGAAGAGAACTAAAGATCAGAGTTCATAGAAGAGGCCCACGGAAACTTCGAGATTTGAAGACTGTTTGTGTGGAAGAATGGGCCAAAATCACACCTGAGCAATGCACGTGACTAGTTTCTCCATACAGGATGCGTCTTGAAGCTGTCATTACCAACAACGGCTTTTGTACAAAGTGTTAAATAAATTTCAGTAAGCGTGTTTAATACTTTTTCCCAGTCCTACTTTTTTACACATAACTTTAATTTCTGAAATTATTTATTTTGATTTCTTTGCATGTGTGGACTGCATGGGTTGTTACCAACATCTGGTGACAATTTCATGACAATAGCGCCTTTAAAAATATATTTACTGAGAAAAATGGTGACGTGTTCAATACTTATTTTACCCACTGTACCTGCCTGTCCTTTTCTATTAGGGGGAGCTAAGCTAATCATATAAAAGGTAGCAGCAGATCTCCACGTTCATCTGGTGGTTTAATGACCCAGTTAGACAGAAGATAAAAATTACATGGGAAACCAAATTAACCAGGGATGGATTTTTTTGTGGAAGAGAGGAGAGGACAGAGGTAGCTTTTTTATGAGTCACTGGGTAACACCCAGACATTCAGGAATGACTGTAATGTGGGCCTTGGGACATTCCTATGAACTCAATGAGAGGGAGTGAAGGCCTCTCCATGACCCTGAAAGAACCTTCCCTTGGACTGTTGAAAGTTGTGGTGCCTTCAAGGTCTCGTAAAAAAAAAAAAATCTGCTGTTAGCTTTCAGTATATTTACTTTTCCATTAAAAAAGAGAGACTCGAGTGTTTTTTGTTATTCTTTTTCAGTGATATTACAGTTACCAACCCAAAACAAGTTAAGTCTGTCCTACAAAAAACAATTTCTAGTCTGCACATTCATAGTCAAAATATCATTCCCCTTTTCTCTCCTCCCAGCCACCATTTCAGTGATGACCTCGACTAGCCACGTTAGAACATCAACGCTGCACAATTAGCCTGCTTTATTACTACGGCAACACTCACAGCAGCAGGCAAATTGAGGATAAAAAGGGACAAGTGTCGTCCTAAAATCGGAGCTCGGCCACATAACAGATTTTCCTCTACAATAAATTCACTACAACAAATTACCCATTCAGGAGAACACTAGTAAAAGATTTGTCAAGACAAGTGTAGAATTGAACTAAGAGTGTGATTATACTATGTGCCAACCTCAGTTCCAACTGTTGGGCTAAATGAGAGAGAGAGACAGAGAGTGTGTGTGAGTGTGTGAGTGAGTGAGTGAGTGAGTGAGCGCGCATTTGTGTCTTGTGTGTTTTGTGTGTGGTCCTACTCGTCCAGAAGCTCCTCTCCATCGATGTATCTGAGGCTGCGGAGGAAGGCCAGGGAGCTCAGAGTGTGGGAATGTCTGATCCGCACATAGCCCGTCACCCTCTGGATCAAACCTGTGAAACTCTCCAGCTCTGCCACCATGTTGTCTAAACACACACAAAGACATCCATAGACACACAACTGTTATTACTTATTTATACCTTCTTTTTTATTTTTGACTTAACTACATTCATGTCTGTATTATGGTTGTACTTCTGGAATTGTAAGACTTGCTTTTATATATTTCATACTATCTTTAACTTGTGGAACTCAAGTCATGGTTTAACAATATGTAATTAACAAACCTGTATACATTTCTGTAGAATGGCAATAGCAGCGGTAACACAGAAATGTTAGTGATAACTGGAGTGTTGCTGTGGTACACTGCAGTACTTACGGCCTCTGCGGATGTTGATATGCAAGTTGCCTTTGATAACAGTGCAGCCTTTGAGAGACTGAGCGGCATCCATGGAGTCGATGACCTTCTCCTCACACACTTTATCACACAGGCCATCACAGGCGGTACAGAACATGCTGGAGACAGACAGAGAGAGGTGGGGAGAGACAGGAGACCGTAAATGTACAGTTTCATTTTAATGACGTACATTCATAAACTATTCTAAACTCTTGAAGCTCTCCCCTGATCTTTAATCTTTTATTTTCTCCCCTCAACATTTTTACGTCAGTGTCTGACAGGACCAGCTAAATAATTCAGAGATTTAACAAGAAACTTATTATTTTACAAACAACTATTTATAATGTGACTAAGGACGAATGGTTGCCTCTAAACCAACTGCCCTGTATTGTATTGTGCTGTATTATATACAGTTTTTGCCCTGATGAAATTTTAAAATGGAAACCAATAGCAGGGTGTGGAATTGGTACCAAAGCCAGGCCAACAATAAGAGTACCTCCACCCAGTGGCTCCATTTCAGTCTACATCAGGGTGGATTGTGGCTCACCTGTTGGGTGCGGTGCGCGTGTACCCAGATGGGCATTCAGACATGCACTCTCCACCGTGGATGATGAAGCTGTCGTAGTCGGGGAGGTGGACTTTGGAGCAAAGCTCGGCGCTGATGCAGCGCCAGCCCTCGAACTTATAGGTGCCTTGAGGGCAGTCGGCCACGCAGCGTCCTTGGTAGTAGTAATGTACACACGCCGCACATGCTGTGTCACTACCAGCGACTGTGCAGCTGCCTAGACACTGAGGGTGGCAGCACTCGCCGTCTGCTGTGCATGCTCTCCGTACACACTTCTCTGGGCACTCTGGTGGGGAGAGAAAGGAAAGGTATGATACCTATAAAGATGATAAAACATTGACTTTTTTTCCCAGGATGTTAGAGTTATTTAAAAACAAAAAAACATAAACTGACATAAAGACATGGATTAGGATACCCATGCAATACTACATTATAGTATAATATTCATACTAGGGATGCTTGTTATTTTGGTCCTATTCCCATTCAGATTCTGAAATTTTACTAAAACACAGCTGCAAAAGCAAAGCAATCTGACAGCAGAAATAGAAAAATAAAAATAAATACTACACCAGAGCTTTTCTCTAAAAGGAATAGTGCGACATTTTGGAGATGCATTTATTGTTTTTTGTTTTATTTTGCCAAGAGTTTTATGGGAAGTTTGACATAACTCTCATGTCTTCATGGTAAATATGACACTACAGCCAGCAGCTATTTAGCCTGGCTTAGCACATAGACTGGAAACAGCTAGCTTGGGTTTGGCTCTGTCCAAATGAAACAAGATCAAACATGTTAATTAGTGAGCTTTAGAAGTTCTGGTAGACAAATTTTGTTTGTTAAATCTGTATATAAATGTAAGCGTAAGAATGAAACCTTGTGGTTTTACAGAGCGTTATGTGCCAGTCATTGTGATTTGTGACTGCATCTGGCCAAGAAGTAGCCTGGCACATAACCCCCTGTAAAACCACAACATGACATCTGTACACTTAGTGTTAACAAATAGACAAGTAAACAGTTACTATTGTATCCTGTAATATTTTAGAGTGTCAGTCTGGATCAGGGACACCTTCTCAACCAGAGAATGAACAACATAGTTAAGTATTTTAACATTTTGTGTTCCATCTGTAAAATGTCAAATGTCACCATTAAGCATTGTACATACATCCATACATCCATCCATCCATACAGTTCTAGTGTGATGATGGAGTGCAATATGGAGTTCACTGGCATACTTAGACAATAGTGGGTTATAATACAAAGCATATGGAACTGGATCAGGAACAGACAAAAGCCCTGATTGACCACAACCTGATTTTGCACATGAGCTCAAGGCATCAGGAACCATACTTGCCTGAATGCCCCTGTTCTTGTGACTCCAAGCAACTCCAAGTCCACATCTAGCAACCAACAAACACAATCCCCACCCCTCCAAGAATAAAAGGGGCATTTACCTACGCCAGAGTGTAACAAAGAAACACAACCAGTCAGTCCTCAGCCTGAATTAGCTTCTGGCATGACGCTATTGGCTACAGTCCTGAACAAATGATTGGCATTTAGTGGAGACTGACTGACAACACACATGCAGACGCACACACAAACACACATATCGCTCTGAATCCAGATTAAAGCTTGTAAAAGACTAAAAACAGGGAACCATGATGAAGGATTGCAGGCTGCTTCAAATCCTTTGTACACGTTTCGTAAAAAAAAAAGAAAGAAAAAACACACATCCAGCACACAACCTGTCAGAGCTTTTGTTTAACACAGTTGTTTGCTGGGTGGGCTGGTTTTGAGACCAATAGTTCATCCCATATCCACAGTGACCAAAGCCTCTCTGCTCCGGGTTTTCCAGCAAGCACTGCTACAAATAACTCTTACAGTTGCTGTGGTGTCCCTCTAAATAAGAGGATATTGTAACTGATGACAGGGAAAACTGATTGAAGAGCTCTTGAAGAAAAACACTGGACTGACCTACGTACAGTACAGAAAGGAGCTGCACCTCGTGGCGTCACTACCGCAGGGGAGTTCAAATCAAGCACGGTGGAGGTAGAGAGCAACTAAAACAGCTTACACACCTTCATCATCACCATTAAATTAAGCACCAATTGGCTCAAATTCACTCTAAACAGATTTTTTCTGGCCTTCAAAGCTCCAAGGCGGTTTGCCTCAGAAACAAACGCTAATTTCTATGGAAACACTTTAAATCACTGCTTGAAATTATTTGTGTTGGTAAGCATGTGTCCTGTAAGGCGTAAACAAAGGGATGGGGATATCTGAACCAGAAACAACCAGATGAACAGAAAAGCTGTAATTTTGATTATGTCATCCACTTAGGTTAGCCAGGGGCTGTGTTTAAACATAAACCAAACAAAGTGAAGTTATGGGAAACGATGTGTTGTTTATAGGATGCTGAGTGATAAAACACTGAAACACGTTTCAACAAGTTGTCTCCCCTGTCTTTGTCAAACAAACAGCAGGCCAGAGGAGATGCCTACTGCTACTCCTCTTATTTATATTTCAGTGTTTTATTCACCATGACGCCAGAATAAATCTTAAGTCAGGTTATGTGCAACTTATACTTCTTTCATCACTGTGTTCAAAATGGTTCAACTGATGCTGAAAGAGCTAGTTGTTGACTGTAAGGGGGGAAAAAAAACAGATGTCAAATTAGAATAGGAAGTTGTTCCTATCTGCTCGATCTTTTACCTCTCCAAGTTGGCGCAAAACACTTCAGGAGTTGTTGTTTTGGAGAAACGTGGCTGCCATAGAAAGCATGGAGATATGATATGCCAATGTTCACATTTGAGAAGATGGAACCAGTAAAATTTTTGTCAACAGTTGCCAGTTTTTGTCAATCGACAAATCAATTAATCGACTAATCACTGGAGCTCCAACACATTATAATAAAGTTTATTTATATAGAGTTTTAAGACAACACATTGATAAATTGCAAAAATACCAGAATTTCCACACAGAAATGAGTGCTTGGAGTTTCATGTTTTACAAGCCACCAAGACAGAAATACAGAGGTTTCCAGTTTCGTGATACACTTTTGTTTTTTATATATGACAGTGATCATAACCAAACACAATATGCCTTCATCCATGAAACACTAACTGCATACCAAAAGTTGAACACAGTATCTATGCGGTGCCATGTGCTTTAAGCACTGTAATCAGTCGTTCATTTTTCCATTTACAAAAGTAAATTTATTTTTCAGTGACATCTAAATTCAGGACTTGGGAAACATCTACTGCCCATCCTATATGACAAAAAAAATCATCATCAGGCTGTGCCCATTAGATGACCTTCCAGCCTCCTGACTGACACAGAAGCCAATCAGATCCTTCAGAATGTGTGGTCCCACCAACCATTGAGCAGGCTGTTCGTGCTCAGCAGCAGGGAACCAGTGCTGCGTTTTTCTGGCACAGAATGTTCTTTCTCTGCTCCGAGCCCCCGCCACCCCCCGACTCCGTCTCGCCCTCTGACCTCCGCAAAGGGTGATGGGAGGTGTGTTGGGAAGGTGTAATTTTGCAATGTGATAATGTACGGCCTCAGGCATAAAGAGAGAGAGGAAGGTGAGGGAGAGGAAGGAGATGATCTGTGCCTTAAGTTCGGCTCTGGCTGGAGTTGTTAGTCTACAGGGGTGTGCAGGGGTGGAGGGGTTGACGGGCACATACAGTGGACATCAGCATTCCACTGGACATCTGTAACATGATGGATCCCAGGTTTTACCCTCCTTACCGCACTTTCAGAGACAGGTTGATGCAGAGCTGCAACACAAGGGGAGGAGGTAAAGTAGAAGGAAGGGGAAGGGGTAGAGGAGGAGGAGGTGTGAAGGACAGAAGAGAAGGAGAGAATGAACTACAGAAGGGGGAGACGCAGAAGAAAAGGACATGGAAAAGAAAGGTGGAGGAAAGAATGAGGTTTAAAGATGGAGATGCAGGGCGGTAGAGGAGGAGGATACTAAAAACACCATTTAACATATCACGTCTTTTTGAATGCACATGCAAACACACACACACAAACACACACACCTGGTGCTGAACAGAAAAGTGTAACGAGAGGATGACTACAAAATGAGGTCTTCTGGAGCATGAGACATCTTCGAACTCATCACATACAAACCTCTAGGTAATCATTTACAGTCTCTCAACATACATAGTTTCTATCTAAAAATATTGATGCAACGTGAAAAACGTTAATATTAATTAATTTTGTCACTCCTAATTCTTTGGGGGATAATCATGCTCTAAGGTTTAGAACTACAGTTCCCACAAACCTTTTCTGTCCTTGATCTTTTTTTTTGTAGCCAATTTTTGTTTGTCACCATTAGCAGTATGCTGAATTAGTTACTGCATCAGTCTGAAAGGGGTATTAGAAAATTAAAGGGTGGGTTGTAGAGAGTTACTGTAAGTAGTTGCTAGTGTCCACACAGTAAAACAGCACACCTTTTTCATTTCCAGCACTGGCTGTGGGATAAAGATGAAATGAAATACCAGCCCACCAGTATGGTATGCTGGGAAATTCACACACGTCACCAGCTAAATGGCGGGAAAATGCCTCGGGTGTTAGTTATAAAGCAATATATTATATATAGCAGCTACTTGGTTAAACAATGAAAGTGGCAGGTGAACTGATGTTATTTTTCTCTCTCTCTGCTGCTTGATCAGCTGATCAACTAAGAATTAAAAGCCTTTCTAATTGTTAAATCCTTGTTTTCAGCCCCCAACCTCAGGGTGACACGAACAGGATGTCCCACACGGAGACACAGTTGCTGTGATGACGCTCCAGGCTTTAGCAGTATATACTACTCAGCAGCACAGCACAACAATAACAGGCAAAGACAGATGTCTAGACTGAAGATAGCAGAGTTGATTCAAAAACACAGATAGAGATCTATACTGGCTTTCGACTGATTAAACAGATCCACATAGTCCTACTGACCTGCATTTGACAGTTTTTTGTCAAAAAGAAACCCCCATCTAAGACTTGGCAAGCAGTACTTTTGAATCACTTGACTTTTGGTTAATAGTGGGGGGGAGGTAGATCCACCAAATACTAATGATAAATTTGAAAAAATTCAGAGAAAAAAAAAAAAAAAAATTCTGGTTTTACAGGAACAGAAAATCTTCAAGTTCAAACTTGTGCTTTGGGCTTTATAAATAACCTGACTTGATTAGGAATTGTGTTGACAAAGACTGCCAGGAACAGGACCCTGGGGCCCCCTCAACTTCCTGTAAGCTTCGGTTTTGTAATTACCAGTCCCCATATGGCAGGGCTGTGCCA